CCAAAGACAAGAAATACCAGGTGCTAAGCACTGGAACCGTAGATACAAAGTGCTGTGGATGATGTGTACACAAAGCTCAGACCACAAACCTCTGTCCAGGAATGGGTACAGCCCCCAGAGTCATCCTAGCGAGTGGAAATCAATTGAAGGTAGCAAACTACAACCTAGGTGGGCGATGTGGGCTGAACTAGGCTGGAATTTGCTGGTGCTATCCAGGCAGTCTAAGCCACAGATAATCACAGGGCAGCTCCCAAAAAGCAGCATTTGCGGCCTGAAGAGACTGAGGAGGTATAAACACTGTCTGCAAGGCAACAGTTCACTTACTTCCCTTCTCCTGGTGGGAAGGAGAGAAGGGGGAAAAAAAATAGAATAAAAGAAATGTGTCATTTTGGAATGACTGCACCAAACCAGTTCAGTACAATTTCATACTGCAAAGGCAACAAACACATGGTCTACAGCTCTGACTCGCCAGTTTTAGCAAATTACTAGACCTGGCTTCAGCTACACCAAAAGCAGACACCTAGAAATACCTCTCCTTGACAAAAAGAAATTGGCAGAGTGACCTTTAGCAAAACAGTTAGCTTGATTAATGAATTAAAGTTAGACAATGTCAATTACAAACTAGAAACAAAGTCATCCTTGGATTTGGATCCTGATGGATAAAGAACTTTATCTCTTCTATGTTCCTCTCAGAAGTCTAGACAGGTAGACTAAGCAATGGTGCTACTTGCATTTAATGAGAATTAAATGTTAATCTTTACAACTAGAAGACCAAAATCTCACCTTAAAGATGCAATTATTTCCCATTCCTCTAACATTTCTATTTTGGTTTGAAACTTCTTGTAATTCAGTAGCACACCCTCTGTACCAAATAAATCAATGTTAACCATGAAAGTGTAAGCAGTGTTACCCAATTCTGAACTTCTGGTGACTCCAGCTCATGGGCTGACCTACAATTATCTGTTATTCTTGGAGCAGTGGGGCTGTACAAAGCCATGTAAATTACAGGACACAGTTGTATATGTTGTCTTCTAAGAATATGTCTTGCAAGTATTTGTTTTCCCACATTCTTAAATTTCTGGGGTTTCATATGCAATACAACCCCCACAAAATCTACCCAAGATAAAATGCAAGCTTGTGTCACATTCCTGCAGGGCCCTTCATCTGCGTTCAGTTACATCTAGATTCACTCCTTTGACATTTGTTGTGTGATTGAATCCTCTTTCTCTTTCCATTTATAATTATGTGGCTTTTTAATAAACTCATTAAATAAACAACCCATTTCAGCCCTCAAAATTTGCCACTGGTATCTCTGCAGCTTAGTACTAAGCCTCCACCTAAAAAGGAAAGGCAAAACAACAGATAATAAGGTCTGAGATGTGCTGCATGTCGCCTGCCGTGTATGAGGAGACCACAGCCTGGAAATCCACTTACTCAATGTAAATCCAGTTTGGTTATATTGACTTTTCTTTCCCTCATGGTATATTAGTGCTCATGAAAAATCTTGCAGTGAAAGCCCTAGAGAAGAAATCTTTTGTCCACAGACAAATGCACTTCCCATTTTCTGCTTTATTACCACAAGCAAAAGAGCAAATGTGTTATTCTTACTTTTACAATAATCACAAGGCCAGACACCCAGCTAAGGCATAAATCCTACACGGGCTTTGTCATGGAGACTTTCTCAAGTCCTAATTCCAGTGCTATCTCTACCCACTTGTCCTCTCTTTCTCCACTCAGCATAGGGACAATTATGATTAACCCTCTGAAAATCTGACTACAATCCTAACATTCAGCTCCTACAAACCACCAAATGACCCATTCAGTCACCTTCACATCATTGCTACATTTGAATCTCCTGAAGCCAAATCATTCTTTCTGCCTTTTTTTTTACTGTTATTATTTTTTATTTTTTCCTTCTCTTCTTTCTCCCTTTCCTTTCTCTTTCCTTTTCACAATCATTCACAAGGCCAAAAAAAGATTCAAGAGACAAACGATGCCATCTGCAAACAACTCAAGTAACTCCATAGAAGGAAACAACAGGCCAGCATCAGAGAGGCTGTTACATGTCAACATATTAAATAACAGCAGTCAAACTCTCAGCTGGTGGATATCAACCTGTCTCCATCTGGTTGTATGAGGGCAGTGCAACTTGATATTAAACACAGAGTAGAAAAACCTGATTCATGTTAAACTACAGTAATGGAAATCACAGTGAGTATTGACCCTAGCAGACACCTATTTCAATCAGTGACCAACTCTCATCTCCCCAGGCAGGGAACAGCCAGGAGCACACAGAATGCAAGGCAGAATGGGCCCTTAATACATCTCAAATTTAAAGTTTCCTACCCTTTAAAAAATCACAGCTACACCTAGCTTGCAGTAATCCAAAAGCATAGCTCCAGGGCATCTTTCAGTGGCCTAAGTTTGGTGTTTAAATTACATATATTACTTTAAACTACAAATATCTGCTCAATCAGCTCTGCTGCTGCTCTGGGGCAGCTGAGCTGAGTGTCAGAGAGTTTCTGTGAAGGCACACACAGCCACTGGCACCCAGGAGAGAAATGTGGATTCACAACATCAGGAGTCCAAAAGGTTCTGATAGTCAGAGGTTAAAGATCTGTTTTCATCACCTAGATTAGTAAGAGAGATTTTAGCCAAAAATGTCTTTGCAGAATCAAAGATTGGTTTGGGTTGGAAGGAACCTTGAAGATCATCTTGTTCCAACTGCCACAAGCAGGGACACCTTCCGCTAGAGCATCCATCCAGCCTGGCCTTGTCTTCTTGCATATTTATTATATATTTGACTTCTGAGCTGACTTTACAAAAGGCTGATTGCAACTGCTTCAGCAAGGAAACGTGAGAGATCTGACCTCCATCCCCCCAGCCTTACAAGTACAGGTGAACTCTTGAGAAACAAGCACCCTCCTGCCACAATACAAAACAGTCCCTAATCTGCCACCTTAAGAGAGGTGAGACAGAAGTCTCTTTGGGCACAAATGGGAAAAAAAAAATGAACCATATATCTGATGAAACATTCTAAGTGTCATCTCCAACCTGTTATCTCCTCTGGCAGCCTCAACTCACTGCCTTTTCTTGTTACTGTCTTCCCAGAATGCATATACTCATTTGTCTGTCCCTCTGGTACTGAGGGCAGCATGCAAAGTCCCTTCCAAAAAAATCAAGTACCAACTAAAAACAAAGAAAGAAACAAAAATTAAAAGCTTAATAAAAATGGGTATCAGCAAACTGATGGAAGCACTTCTGCATTAAAAACTTCAATAACATCAATAACAATAAACATCTTTAGTTTACCATCAGCTGCCAGAACTGCAGCACTCCCTCAAACACTGACATTGGCTGGCTCACAGGGAATCCCAGAAAGGGACGCTAATGGTTCACTTGATCAGGATACACAAAGGAAGGAGCTGCTAGCTATGTTGCCAGAACTGCAGCACTCCCTCAAACACTGACATTGGCTGGCTCACAGGGAATCCCAGAAAGGGATGCTAATGGTTCACTTGATCAGGGTACACAGAAAGGAAGGAGCTGCTAGCTATGTCCCCTGCTTCAGCAAGCTCAGGAAATCTTTTCAGTTGTCCAAGTTTGCAAGGCTCTGGGATTATGCCCCTTCAGTGGATGGGGATGTTTCTTTCCTACAGCTTGGCCTTTAATAATGTTAAAGGGCAAAAGGTCTTGACTGACACATAGCAGACCCCAGAGAGACTAATTACTCAGCCAGTCTCTTCTCCCTTACTTGCTCCTCTTGAACATCTCTAAAGAGTCTTTAAATTTGACCTGCAAATGCTAATAGCTTTCCTTTGCAGCACTGGATTGTTCCTCTTCAGGACTTCTGCATGCGCTTCCCATTTATGCAATGCTGACTCCCATAATGGTCAATAAAGGGCGGTATAACAGTATGACAAACTTACGTTCCCAGCCATGCCCAGAATTCAAATTGAATTACAAAGTCAGCCTGTGTTCATAAAAACAACTTTAACAAGCAAATGGAGCTTTACTGTGCTTCATAACTGATATCACATATCTCTGGGTTGCTGCCAATTCTTTATGTAAATACTTTAAATCCCTCAGACTTTGTTTTGCATGCTATGTCGTGAGTCTCTTCATGATCAAATAGTATTTAAAACATTTATTGCCTTGTTAAATCTAACAAGTTAGATTTACTGGGATAGTCACTTTCCCTAATAGCCAATTTAGTAAAACTCAATCTATTCATTGATGGATAAATATATAATAGGCAGTTGTTAAGCTTTAATAAATATTTTTAATAGGCAGCTGGCATTTTCTCTCAATGGCAGCACTTCCTCTCAGCTGCCAACAGGAAATGCTTCTCCTCAGTGTGCCAATTCAACCCACATGTAGGGAATAAATTGATCTAGAGGAGGAAACAGGAGCATGAATTTCAGGTAGTTTTCTCATGCTGCTTGTCACAAGAAGAGCAATAACTGAGGTTATTACTCTGAGGCCCTGAGCTGTCACCAAGACAATCAGGTATTGAACAGCACACAGTGTAAGCAAGAACATGAGTTACAGTGTTTGTCTAGACTCCGTACAAGCCACGGACCAGGAGAAGAAAGGCAGCTGGCTATCTGAAAGTCATATAAATGATATTCATGTATTATTATGGCAATTTACACTCTCACTGCACTCCCTGTCTCATGTAGATCATGTCACATACTCTCACCCCACCCTGCCAGTCCATGTCAACACATTGCCTCAGCTTCTAGCTAGGTACCATTTTAAGGCTTTTGGGTACCTAAGAAAAGATTTTGAAGGAGTCCACATCATTGAAACTAAAAGCTTTTAAAAATCAGGCTTTTAACTCTAACTGTTAGAGCATGTTATAGTAAAACCTGCAGGTTTCAGGATCAGCTCTCCTGAATGAAGGCAGCTGTTGCATGTAAATAAGGAAACACCAAAAAATCATCAAAAGAGACTGCATTTATATGCTGGATTGGAAAGTGTAATTATAGCCACAAGACACTCACCTGGGTGGGATTATACAGTTCCTGGAGTGGGCTCCTGGATCCTTTCCGACAGCAAATGTCCATCCCAAACGGATTTCTACGCATTACTGCAAGGGGAAATTGAAATTAGTACAGGTTAGCAACACTGGCTAGCAGAAAGCAATTGCAATACCTGCAGCAAGAAAAGATTTTCTGACAGATCATAGGATTCTAGACAGTTTTGTCGCTTAACTCCTGATTTTCCTTTCCCTAGAAATTGTCTAAGAGCTAAATCCCTTATCTATTGTGGAAGTTACTGAAAATAAAATCCCCTTATAAAAGTTGTTATGCAACAACTCTCAGTTTGGGTGCACAAAAATTCAAGCATGGGGACCAAAGCAACACAATTTTCAGTAGTGACAGACACCTGCTTGTCTGATCATCAGGAAGGAGTCGATGGATTCCTATAATCAGCACCTCTGAGAGGCAATGTCTGAGCCTCTCTCAGACTAAACACAGACATGTACAGGAGTCTTATATTAAATTGCATGATTTTAAAACTTTTGGCCTAACTTTCCTGTTTCTCATAGAGCAGATACTAATCAGTACTCAACATACATACAATCAAACATCGCTGCCCTTCTTACCACAATTTTGCTTTACATATTACAACTGGGAATTTGACTGATCCACAGAACAACATGCACTGTGTTATACCATTAAAGACCAGCTGGCTTTCAAACCAGAGGCTTTGTCAAAGATCTGATCAAGGAGCATTTTGGATGACAAATTTTTTTCAGGAGAGCTGTTGGCCTGAGTCCCAGCAGAGATGCAGACCATCAGCTTCAAGTTAGACCTCTGTGGCCATAAAACTCTGTAAGAAGACATTCAGCTCCACCCTCTATAGTCAGGAGCAAAACAAGAGCTTGCTGTGCTTCTTATCTCACATGGCCCACATCATCCTCTGCTAACACTCTCCTGCCCCAGCTCACCCTGGGAAATACAGAAGGAGCATCAGGCTGTCAGACACCCACATCCGGCATTGCAGCAAGGGAAGATTTGTCTCATCAACATTTGATTAAGACATAACCAAAAAAAAGGGAAAAAGAGATGCTCCTGCTGGGAACATCATGTTAAGCCAAGTCAGGCATGCTTTTATCATCTCTTGCCACATTTTGTAACCAGAAGCTATTGAAGTGTCCTAGAACAATGAGCTGCACCACTTGCAGACATGCTATTGTGGGCTTCAAGCCAAGTCAGAGAATACAGTCCAGTAATGTTTTAATACCGAGGCCTAATATCATAATTGATACGTCAAGTAATATAAACCACAGAAAACTGTATACAGTCCAATCTAGAAACATAATTGATTCCTTCATTCACTCAATACCTATTTTTCAATAGGAGGTAATTATCTAATAACATGCTGGGTTGCTTTTTTCCTAAGCAGACAGATTCCACGGGTCTTGTGGCAGGAGGCAGACATACTCAGTAAACAAACTGGCTTCAATTTTCTTCACAATTAGGACAGCAATGTTAGTAGAGGCAATAATTTTATTTTACACATTTAAACACCTGATTAAATTATGAACATTTTTAGTTATGCAGACAAGTACTGTGATTCCTCCATTGCTGTGCTAATGTGTCTTTTTAAAAGATAACTTACAATGTGTTTTAAAAAATTAAAAATTAAAAAATGTTTCACAGTAATGCCAGCTTCCAAAGCCTGGAAGTGGTTTTAGGAAGAAAATTTTGAAATGAGGATATGAGACATCCAACAGCCATTCTCACTACAGAGCTCCTGTCCACCTTATCACCTCTCCATGCTCTTTGTACCAGAACTGTGTCCAGAGAAGCTTTCAAAATCATTGCCCCTTCCTCAATAAAGAAACCTTTCCAAAATGAAGCCTCCTACTCAAGGGCAAAGCACATTAAAACACCACAGCAGGGGGAAAGGGAGAGGGGGAAATTTTAGTGTATCTAACTCATTAGACTGTGATTAACTAAGGTCCTGCAGCACTGATGCTTTGTTCTGAAATGAGGAATAACAACAATTCTAGTGTGGTGTTCCCTAACTTGTTATTTCACTTCTAATTTCCATTAAATACAGTTAATAGTACAGTTCATAAGTGTATCCATCCCTTCCTACTTCTCTTAGCCAGCAGGTATCAACACTTTATATGCAGCAGTAACAGCAATAAAGATTACATTATTTACACAACATGAAAGATTTGTTTCCAGATGTAAATAGACAGTAGAAAGAGCTATCTCCCCAGCGAAAGATAAATGCTAATGTAGAGCCTTAATCACAGAGGCGATTCAACCTATTTTATAATTTCCAGTATTACTTAATTTGTTTTGTTTTTCCAATAAAGCTTTTAAAATCAGACTGTGGGGTTAGCATAGCAACACTGCACTTGGTTTCCTATTTATTGATGCCAGTAATAGCACTCCCTGGTACGATTGTACACAGCACATCCGTGCACACCCGGAAAGTATTTGTGCCTGGAGTTTTACTGCAGCATCAAAACAAAGGTGAATACTTCCCTTTCCTCAGCAGAAATCCCACCAGCACTGTTTGTACAACTGTCCTCAAGGGAATAACTATCAGGAATGTTTTTACATAGTTCAAAACACTTTCTGGCATGTCTGTGGGCACACTTACCTCTCAGGGCTCCTACAACATGTTTTCTACTGTCTCTGATTCTCTGAGGCAGTGCTTCATTATGCCAATGACAAAACCTTTTGGGCCTGAACCTCACCCATAGCAATCTGCAGTAAGAACTGTAGTACAGAAGGTAACTGCAGCTCTACTAATTTTAACAATACTTTTGCTAAGGATCCATCACACCACTGTGGAAGTGAAAATTAAAAAAATCAAGCCCCTTATCCTCACCAAATCTTATCAGCATAGTAAATATCTAAATCTACATTTTATGGCTTGGGCTGATCTCCATACATAATTATGGTCAATTATAATCCAACGATAAGTACTGCAATATGCAAGGCTCCAAGAACCATTCAAAAGATCACATTCATGCACACCAACAGTGTGAAGCAGCTGACAAAGAAATTTAGAATTGTCTAGGCTGTAAAATACCTGTAAGATCAGCAGCATTCAGTGCCTTTAATGATTCAAGAGTAGTGCTAATACAGCAAGTGCAGCAAGAACATGAATCCCCTAAATTTAGCCAGGAGTGTGAGCAACTGGATGAATCGTGAGTTTGTTACTTAAATACAAGAGCTGTAAAAACAAGATCTTTGTTCCATCCCCAGAAATGATCTGTCAAAAATGCAGCCTTGGCCCATCTTGCTAAAATATGTGTGGAACCACTAGTTATCAATCTAATAAGGAATTTGTAGAGGATGCTATCTAGGCACCAAATTTCAATTTCTCAAAAGAGGAAGATAAACAGCCCTGCTTATCAACACAACAATCAGCTGTCTATGCATACATACAGAGGAGTCTTTCAATTTCTCAAAAGAGGAAGATAAACAGCCCTGCTTATCAACACATCAGCTGTGTATGCATACATACAGAGGAGTGTGTAGGCCTTAAATCATCTCAGAACAGGAGCATCTGTGCACAGCTCCAGCTTCCAGAAAACTCCATTTAGACCCACCAGTACCAAGAGCAGGAATTTGACCTGTGAGTTTCAGTGCACTTAGGACAAGAACATTGAAGATCATTCACATGGAAACATGTGAGCCAGGCTTAATCTGTCACCTCTCCTTGGCAAGAAGGCATTTCTAATGCACTTGGTAACCTTCAAAGACCCTATCCTAGAATTGGAGACCTCTGGAGAAAATACTGAATATAAGAAGCTGCATAAGTACAATTTCTGCCTCCCCCATCAGGAGCTACAAAAAAACTGAGAAAGGGGACATGGTACATGGTAGCACTTCTATTGGGAGATTACTGGCCTAAAATGAATGTGAACACTGTGACTACCTAGACAAAATGAAAGGGGGTCAGGCAGAAATCATGGGAATCAAGATTTTTGGAGACTGAAAACCATAAAGGTCACCTTCTCACAAAGTGTCAGAAAGGCAAATCAAACAATTTCTCAGAAGTCTGTGTGGGATTAAGTCCCAGAGGAGACTTTGCTGGAAGAGACACACAAAACAACTGCCCCTTCTTCCTCAGCACTGAGAGAGACAAACAAGTGGTATTTCCAGGATGGGTGCCTGCATTCAGCAGCCATCTCTATCACTAGATGTCTGAGGCTCCAGTTTCCAACACTTCTTATATAAAAAGTACCAGTCTGCTATCTAGCAGCTGCCTCCCTACATGGCAACATTTAATTTACATTGCTTGGACTAATTACTGGCATGATTACAAAAGCCAAATGTAAAAATTTTACCTCTGTTCACTGCCTCTTAAGTCTCACATTACAAATATTTGAGAAAAGTTCTGAGGACATATTAATATTTAACTTTTCGTTACACTAGTCTATAGCACAAAGAACAAAATTCCCTAATACAATATTGCTTAAAGCTGACATACATAATTCATTCCTCCTATTGGGATACAAGTTTTCTCACTGAGGAGGAAACAGTATGCACTGGCAGCAGTATGGTGAGACTCTGGTTGAGGATCAGATCATGTTCTTTTAAAAGAAACATGCCAAATATAGTCTCTTTTTGGTCTGATTTCTGCCTGAGAGGTTGAAAATGGTTGCTTCTTCTGCCTGAAATACACTGCCTCTCCAGGTAATCCATTGCTCTCCTCCTGCCCAACCACTCCTAATTTCAGGCCAGAGTTAATGCTTTCCATGGAGGATGTTCCTGACAGCAAAGAGCAGGTACATAACATAGTAGCTTTTGCTTAAGCTGTAATCCACTGGGTTAGGGCCAGCCATTCACCTAAACATTCCCTACCCAACCTAGACAGAAAAATCAATGCCACTTGGTCAAGGCAAGATAGCAGCACCAAAATGGTTACTTACATTTTTGCCATTTCCAGCCATGTTTACACAAGCTACTGCCTTTAAACTTCCTGAATTTTTAAGTCAAAGCAAGAATATATAATTATACCCATAATGAAAGTTCAGAGAGATTCTTTTCAGCTAAAGACCTGGACATGGTTTTTCTTGCATAGATTTCTGCTATGACTCCAAAGCAGCAC